GAAATGGGGTAATGATTTTTTTCTTCCTGCTATTATATTATGTGTAGATTTGTCACACGTTGATGTGAAAAACTACTTATTAATTCAAATTTTATATGTTATTTTTAGAATATTTTATTTTATGTTTATCAAATGGCGCATTTCTCTTTAAAATATGAGTTCACAAATATAGATTGTGTGGTGATCGCACTTGTTCGCGAGCCCTTGAAGTTTAAGTCTGGTACGACCCATGAAACATTCATGCTTATACAGAGCCGATCCATATACATTGTTTTCATGGTATGCTCTAACCGTATCGTGCTCGCTCGATCATTTGCTTAAATATAGTTATGTCCATTCTAATAATTAAGTTTCTACCTATTCACAACACCAAGATAAAAAAATAGTATAAATGCACCCAGTATTCGATTTTGACTACCGCTGAAATACTACGTTTGAACCATCTACCACTTTTGTCCATACTAGTTATTCTGCTAACTTGAAGATTCGTTAGTATATACTAACTAATATCCAAAATGTATGAACTAATATGCAAGTCTGCTAAGTATCTAGATAGCACAGACTAGTATTCAAAACATCACAAACTAGTATCCAGATAGCAGATATCAACTAATATCCACAATCAACCAACTAGTATTCAATATGGATACTTTTATCGGTTATCTGGATACTCTTATGTGTTATCTGGATACTAATTATGTGTCGTTTGGATACTATTCTGTGTTGTCTAGATATTAGTTTGTGAATTTGGGATGATAGTTGATTCATGGTGGATATCAGTTAGCAAACTTTGAATACTATTTTGTGCTCTCTAGATACTTTAGTACTTGGATATTAGTTCATGTATTTTGAATATCAGTTAGTATCTGCTAACGAATCTTCAAGTTAGCGGATTAATTTGCCCCACTTTTGTCACTAATAATAAGTATAACTCTAAATTATACATAAAATATTTCAAACATCACAAATATTAAGTTTAAATTAATTATTATAAAGGTAAAAATTGTATAATGAGGTTAATTATAACTCATTTATACATTAATGCTTGATCAACACATCCAAAAATAGTGAAATGAACATCACATTAAACGCAATATCGTCTCATTATTGTCGGGTCCATTCATGCCAGGTTAGCAAGAGGTTTAACGTTTAGCAGTTAACCAAACTAATATTTTAGAGAACTAGTCACCTATAGTTTGTACAAAATATTATTGCTTCGTAGCAGTTCTGAACAGTTATATTAATTTACATAATTCTACATCGTTTTTGCATATTAAATACTGCAATTCGATATGCAATATTTCAAGCAATGAAATTTGTGTTGCAATTTTAAGATTACCCGTGATTTTATAAGTTATAAAAAATAATAAATCACGTATTAAACGTTGCTTTTCAGAAGATTTAATAGGCTAGCTAACCGTGATGGAAAAATCCTCTGCTTTTCAAATATTTTCTTAGTGTATGTTTACAGTATAAGAAGATAAATAATTGTGATGACAAAAGTACTCTTCCTACTGTCACTCTCGTTTTACGAAATTTGAAATGGAAAATCTTAAAACATTGAATATATCTTATAGAAAGAGCTTCTTCAACCAAGTAGGAAGGATATTTTACCTGAAATTATTATATCTTATAGAAAGTGATTAATTGTGAAATTGAAAGTCAAGTAACATTGATTCAAACATTGAATATTAAATCATATATGTGGTTCATTTTTGTGACAATTATAGTAATTTTGTGAGAAAAATCTACACATAATATAAAGATAAATTGGGCACTATGACGAAAAAGAACTTCCTAGAATCACTCTCAGGCCACAAAAGTTGAAATAAGACTCTCATTTTCCTATTTTATCATTATATTATATGTAGATTTGTCATAAAAAATGATTATACTCGTCACAAAGGTCCATGTTTTGGTTACACTTATGTATTTTTTCTAAATTAAACTAAAAATAAAATTTAATATTAATGTTCGAATCAATGTTACTTGAGTTTCGATTTCAGAACTAATGTCTTTCTATAAAATATAAATAAGTCAAGATAAAATATAAATATAGAAGCATTATCACCGAACATGTTCCTAGAATTTAATCAAAGAAATAACAGTAAATACAATGTAATCTAGTTGGTTATAATACTCTTTCTTCATTTAAGTTATCAAGATTTAAACTCCAATAACAATATATTACGGGGTCGTTTGGAAGTTGCGATTGTTTTGTTGAGATTGTCATTATGCATGTATTGTTTACAATGCATCGTTTTTTTGTTTTTTAGCAGAAACAATACATGGATTGTTTCTGTGATGTGACAGAAACTATCACTCATTTTGAGTGATTGTTATATCTCAACTTTTAATTGTGATTGTTGAGATAGTTGAGTTGAGATTGTTTTGTCTCGGCTTTTAGCTGATGCGACATACATAATCACACATAACAAATGTTGTATTCTACAATGCATCAAATTCGACAATACATGTATAATATTATACATGCATTCTCAACAATACATCTATTTAACAATCGCAACTTCCAAACGAACTCTACGTATATAAAGATGAACTGGATAGACAAAAATAATATTTCTAGAATCACTGGATATAATTGTCTTGCTTAAGCGGCGTTGTCGCCTACTCGCCTAGTCGCCTTAGTAGTAGGTGGCAATTCCCATGCGGTGAACTCGGTGCCGTCATCCCGCTCGTGGTGGCGTACGATGGGCCGTGGACGTCCATTAAAATATTAAAGAATAGAGAGCCCACATCCACCCCTGGGCCGCACGTGCCCACCACGGTAACAACGAAAGCCGGCTCGTTCCTCACACGCAGCTCGTCGTTTCCTGCCTTCGGTCCTTCTCTTCCTCGGGTTCTTCCCATCCGTCCATGTCAGCAGAACTGCGCATGTGGCAAGCCACGTCTGCCGGTCCATGTCATCGTTAGTTCTAGATTCGGTTAGGCAACCAAGAAAAGATTCATTGGCAATTCGCCATAAACATTCAAATTAAGGCACTCATTTGTTAAGAATACCCAGCAAAGATAGGGTCATTAACCCTAAGTAGGACGCAAACCAATAGATGTATATATATGATTATTTTGAACGGCACAGTGGAACCTCAGCTCAGATGATTGGCGTTAACTTTAACGCCAAACTAATTACTAAAATAATTAAGCATAAAATCAGGCCAATGGAATTTCTAGTTCCCATGTTATGAGGATTTAACACAATTTTTCACAAATAAGTTCGGGGTAATAGGTCATTTATCCTGGTTTAGTCCCTCTCAAATTCATTACTTACTAATACGTTCAATCTATACTACAAGTATCTCCGTGATGATTCATAACTGATACAAAAAAAGCCTAAATTAACCATGAGTCGAGACCAAAGGGATCAAGTGTTGGCCCGATTCAAGAGGACCAAAACACCTAACAGTTGGGAGAGTATCAAGACAACTTTCTAGAAAACAATCTCCAGGATTGGAAAATCTAGCACAAGGTTGGATGCCCATCTCTAAATTATTAGCACAACATGCAATGCTTCAACTACCACATAATAAAGGTCTTTAAATACAGCTTTACTCATAAAATACTGTATAAATATTTGAACAACTCTCTTCCTCTTTTTGGAATTCTATCTCCTTTCACTTTTCTATCTTGGTCATGATGTATTTGGCTCAGAAACTCGTTACCCTAAAGCTCCGCATTCCAAGTCTTCAAAGCATTAAATGAGCGACACTATACTCGTCTATGCCAATTCTCGATTATACTTCTTTTTTTTTCTTTGCGTAATTACTCTAAATTTGACTGATTGTATGTTGCATATGTTGGAATCGAATATCACCCCCTCGATTTAACTTCATTAAGTTAAAAACACTTTTTGTATTGTACGGACCGGAAGAAGAACGTAGCTTTAATTGTCGAACATGATGGCAAACACATGAACTTTCCATCAAAATTCATACTTCATAAGTATGGATCAACTCCGATAGTAATAGAGTTTGACAAAGAAAAATAAATAATACAAAGGGACTGAAATTTGATAAAGGGTGCATTTGATAGTAGTCATAATTAGGGGTTGGAAGTTTGGGTTGCGGGTTGTGGATAATCCGCAAACCGCACCAACCCTACCTATTGTGGGTAACCATACCCACAAGTTGTGGGTAGTGGGTTGGGTGTGGGTAGTAAAATAACGATTTTTATGGTTAGTGGTTATCCACTACCCACCGCGGTTAACCCACAAAATCCACAATAACCACACTAATTATATTTATTTAGTGAATTAACTTAATAATATAATACTTTGTGAAAAGTGCGAGGATAAAAATTAAAGTAGCCACCAAATAAAAAAGACACACCTAATCAGTTTTATGTAAGAATTTTTTAGTTTATAAAACACTATAATCGATAGAGTGGAGAATAATCAATTCATTAAAAGTGAACACCTTTTGTAACTTTTATCAATATATTTTTGCTTTTGTGTGAAAAAATACAAGATCATATTTAATTGTCATATTTCATCCCTAGTTGGGGAAATATGAAATCATAGCTCTCTGACACAAAAGTTGAATACCAAACTCAAAAAGAAAAAATCTCCACGTTGAGTAAGATCGATGTACAAAATTGTATCTCCACGAACAACACAAGCGTATATCACTATAGTCTAGTTACGAACAAAAAATACGTTAGTGGCGACTAGAACTTTATGCTTGCAAAGATGAATTTTTGCGGGTAACCATACCCAACCCGCACAAACCCACAGTGGGTAGTGGTTACCCACTAACCACTGTGGTGCGAGTTGTGGCCTGTGGGTAGCATAATTGTAAATTTGTGAGTGTGGGTACCTGCAAAATGTGGGGCGGGTAACCACACCCACCCCAATTTCCACCCCTAGTCATAATCTAAGGATGTAGCTGTCAACATGACATAGTCGGTGGACCACAAATGCAATTTACCCCTACAAGGCACAATTAAATTCCTGCGTGGAGTTTCGGAATTTCCCAATTGAATGACGTTTTCCCCAATTGATGAAGCAACAATCGGAAGAGCTGGCGGGGGAAACTAGGAATGAACACGAGGTAGCCTGGCGCGGCCACTGGTAGATAGATAGATCGAACATCTCTCTGTCTCTTTCAATTCCCAAAGCTTCTCTGTTCTTTTGCTATCTTCTTCTCGTCCTTTTTCTCACCTGCAACTAACAAACAAGCAGCCGATAAGAGTCATTATATATAGCACCACCCCCACCATTCGTCAAAGCTGAAAAAGTGAAACCATCGTGGAATTTACACACTCACTTCCTTCTTACTGCAGCTACCCAGTGCTCCGAATCCGATAACCCAAAGATTCCCCAAGCTTCGGGAAATTGTCCGCCATGGCTGCCCTGCCGCAGGATCACCGGCAGCCCCTGATCGCCGGCGAGGAGCCGGACGAGCGGGAAGAGACGGCATACGATTCCTCCGAGAAAATCCACATAGTCGGGGTTGATTCCGACTCCGACGCGTCCGATTTCGCACGGCCCTTCTCCTGGAGGAAGCTCTGGCTCTTCACTGGGCCTGGGTTCCTGATGTCCATCGCGTTTCTTGATCCGGGGAATTTGGAAGGCGATCTTCAGTCCGGTGCGATTGCTGGGTACTCCTTGCTCTGGCTGCTTATGTGGGCGACCGCGGTTGGGCTGCTCATTCAGATGCTCTCGGCTCGGCTCGGCGTGGCAACCGGCAGGCATTTGGCCGAGCTCTGCCGGACGGAGTACCCGACTTGGGCTCGGATGCTGCTCTGGATTATGGCTGAGTTGGCTCTCATAGGAGCTGATATTCAGGAGGTTATTGGGAGTGCTATTGCGATTAAGATTCTGAGTAATGGGTATTTGCCCTTGTGGGCTGGCGTTGTCATCACCGCTCTCGATTGGTAACTTTATTATATTTTCCCCCCTTTCCAATTGGGTTCACTTTTTCTGTTCTGGGTTTTGGAATTTTAGTTCATGGATGATTGCTGATGGAGGAATTGGCGTTAGTGCAGTTTCGTGTTCCTGTTTCTCGAGAACTATGGTGTGAGGAAATTGGAAGCGTTCTTCGCATTTCTGATCGCTGTAATGGCAATTTCTTTTGCTTGGATGTTTGGTGACACGAAACCGAATGGAACTGAACTTCTTTTGGGTGAGTTGTGGTTCTGTTTCCTAGATCATCAAGTGCTTTTTTTTTCGTTACCATGACTGTTTATTTTAAAACTTGTGTTTACTTGAAATCTGCAGGTATCTTGATTCCTAAGCTCAGCTCAAAAACCATAAAACAAGCCGTTGGAGTTGTGGGTTGCATCATCATGCCCCACAACGTGTTCTTGCATTCTGCTCTAGTACAATCCAGGGATGTTGATCGAACCAAGAAGGGTCGTGTCGACGAAGCTCTTCGATACTATGGAATCGAGTCAGCTGTTGCACTAGCTGTATCGTTTTTCATCAATTTATGTGTCACTGCTGTTTTTGCAAAGGCGTTCTATGGCACTGAAGTAGCCAATAGCATTGGCCTTGTAAATGCAGGGCAGCTTCTTCAAGAGAAATATGGGGGTGGCGTCCTCCCAATTCTGTACATATGGGGTATTGGATTGTTGGCCGCAGGCCAGAGTAGCACAATCACTGGCACTTATGCCGGCCAGTTTATAATGGGAGGTTTCCTGAACTTGAGATTGAAGAAATGGGTTAGGGCAATGATCACTCGGAGCTGCGCCATCATCCCAACTATAATTGTTGCACTTATCTTTGATTCCTCTGAAGACTCCCTGGATAAATTGAATGAGTGGCTGAATGTGCTTCAGTCAGTTCAGATTCCTTTTGCACTTATACCTCTTTTATGTTTGGTCTCCAAGGAACAGATCATGGGCACTTTTCGGATCGGTCCCTTTCTTAAGGTATCATTTTTACCCCACCCCTCTACTTTGCTTTCTGCAATGCAATCTCACTGTATAGCCATTTAAAATGGGAGTGTGATTAGAGTGCTGCTATACTTCGTAGTCTAGTGTGATAATTCGATGTCTTGTCCTCTTTGCGACTGCAATGAGCTCGAGAAGTAATGTTTGGTTGAGATGGCAAGTTGACCTTCTCTGTTAACCCTCGTTTCCATGAGTGTGGCAGGGAGGAGAGGTTGCAAAAGAGGGCGTTGAGACTTGAGAGTACCCATTTTCACCTGTTCTGAAGTTAGTAACATTAACCAGGGGTGAAAATGGAGGGCAAAACCACTATATGGATTGTCACATGGTGAAAATGTGTTTTCTTTTTAATGTGCTTGAACACAGAATTTCAAATTCGATTTTTTAAATGATGAAGTATTACTTTAACAACTCTTTCACCTCAATTTCCCCTTGCATTACCTACTTGAAGAACAACATTTCACCTCACCACTTTCATCTTCTCAAACAAGCACACTACGCTGAAAATTCACCCTCCTCTTACACGAGCTATGTTTATGTTGTTATGTTTATCGTCTTGCTTTTGTAAACTATTCTCTTACTACAGTACGTTTTATCGATCTGATTGTCCCCTTTACTTATTAAACAATATATCTTCTGTTTGGCAGACAATTTCATGGGTTGTGGCTGTACTGGTGATGCTGATCAATGGCTACCTATTGTTGGACTTCTTCAAGAATGTGGTAGATGGAGTGATAGTTGCAATACTGGTTTGCGCATTCACAGTTGGATATGTATCATTCATACTCTACCTTGTGTCCCGAAACTTTACGTTTGCGCCATGGAGCCGGCAGTCCAAGCACATAGACCTGAATTGAGTGAAAAAGAAGGCCACCTATTGCCAGATATGTAAGGCATGAATCATGTTGTATTCTACTAACCACATAAATGCAAAGGTCAGCTGCCTGCTGCCTCCCGGGCTTCATACAGTTATGATCTTCAAAGTCTCTTCATGTGCATAAGCTTCTCTGGGTAGCATTTAATTTAGCAGCACCTGTATGGCTTCTTCTGCATATGCCTTCTACACAAAGGGTCAAGGAAGATATTGAAGATCTATGAAGCGACGAAATGGATTCTGAATCCATCACCTGTACTTTGCAAACTAGTTATTAGCTTTGAAGTCCAGATTGCCTGATCATTGTGTAATGAATTGAATCTTCAATGCAATTGGCTTTTCTAGTCGAGGATAATAATTTTCCTTCATTTTATCGACCATTGTGTTACAATTCATATGTATATTAACATTATAGAAGTGAAAATTATAAATAACACATCAACAATACTTCAAGAAATAATAAAAGAGAACACTTTGTTCATGAAATGCCACAAATATGCTCAGATGCTACAAATATGCTAGGAATACCGAATCTGTTTAAACTTAAAATGTAAAATGATTTTTGCAGCACAATAGAAAGAATCATCGACAATCATCTACTTATAATGGAGAAAGATCAAAGAAGAGAGGTGAAACTTTTTATTGTAGTAACTATTTTTATTACAAATTTTAACTTTGTAAATTACCACTATATACATACCTAGAAAAATGAGAGATTAAGAAATTTGAAATGGAGAAAGAAACGCAAAAGTGTAATATATTTTATTGGAGAATAAATAAATATCTCAGTTACGACACAAGTTATTGTATCAAAATGGAAATTTCTAGCTCATATTTATTTCAATACCTTTATTATTTAGGTGGCATTTTTTCATTTTTAGGGATATCCCCAATAATATATAGTACACTTTTGTGTACTTTTCTCCATTTCAAATTTTCTACAACGAGACAGGAGTTTTGTTACGACACAAGTTATTGTATCAAAATGGAAATTTCTAAGCTCATATTTATTTCAATACCTTTATTATTTATTCGGCATTTTTTCATTTTTAGGGATATCCCCGAATAATATATAGTACACTTTTGTGTACTTTTCTCCATTTCAAATTTTCTATAACGAGAGTGAAAGTAGGAAGGATATTTTTTTCTTTACAATTAATTATTTATCTCACATAAAAAACTTCAACATTAGGATTTGAACCCTGGTCTCTTCAAATAAAGACAACAATCACAACTATTTACCCTGAACAAATATGTTGTGTCTTTCTTAATACAAAATACAGACGAAATTCAACTCTCTGAAAATTGCAGGACTTTCCATCATGATTAACAAGCCCAATAAGTATACCGTTTGTATTTTTATGGTGCTTGATACTTCAATTTTCATAGTAGAGTTTTATGTATTTTTCTCAATTTTAAAATTCTTTCTCTCTCCTTGATTTTTGCTAAAGGTAAATTGGTAATTGGCTAACATGGAAAAAACTAATTTTGTCACTACATGTTGTGTCCTTGCATTTTTCAATTTAACTTTTGTGGTTTTTATCTTTATTCTTATCTCTTTCTAACTTCCTCGGAAATTTGCTAACAATAGTTTGCGCCCCTTTCACTTCCCAGTACAAGGTCTCCTTTGAAAATCAATCATCCAATATCTCTTGGCACGTCGGTTTTATTGTTGGGAATTTAAGTTGGGCAAGTAAAAGAGTTTAATAAATAATGGAGTTGCATAAAGAGGATTAGCAATTGAATTTTTGGTTGAAACATATGTCTCTTGACATAAAAAATTTGGCTGTACAACAAAGAGTGGTAGCCATTGGATCTTTATGTTTATGGTTTTTACATCTATTACAACCTATTTCTATCTTAAAACGAGGAATCATTGATTGATTTATTGAAGTAGGTCGATTCTTTATTCAACCTACTGGAACTGATAGACAAGGAGTGTCTAATTTTGTGCCTTATTACATTGATTGACTCTATTAGTATGTTGGAGATAACCCTAATTTTGTCGTTTGCTCTCAAGTTTTGATGGTCCCTTCTTAGCTGAGTTGTTAGTATATAGTTTACTTGAATCAACAACTCTCAATTTCTTTTTGATTAGTGGAATATTGTTCATAAAAGGAGCGCATTAAACCCTTATGTAGGATTGTGAGGTTTAAGATTTCGTTTCAAACTATCTATGGGTCATGTGGAATTTCAGTGAGTTTTTATACCCTCTTTCTTGACAACCAACTAACCAATAGCATTTTAACGAGGGCTTAATGATCATTATGAAAATGAAACTAATGATACATTTTATATTTTATATTCTTAAATGATGAGGGTATTTTTCTGAATGTTAGACCTACATATTTTTTCTTTATGTATCATATCGATCGAAGGATTGTCAATAAAATTAAACTGATTGATTGACTTAAACGTAACATAAAAATATAAATAATCAAATATGAACATTTCGGCCAATTCGCCGGGTTATAAGCTAATTGGTATTAATTGTAATTAGTAGCTATACTAGTAGGATTTTTTATACTAAAAGTAGGGATGGCATCAGGTAGGATCGGGGGCGGATAGTGCATAACCCAAAGTAGTTCGGATTTTACTGATATCCATACCCGGCAGTGCGGCTTCTACATGGCGGTGACCAGGTGAAGCGATCTCGTCAAGCGGTGAAGATGGAATCAAAGTCTGCTTCTTTTGATGTCCAGTGTACAAGGCATGGGAGTGTGTTGAAACTGTCGGTTGAGGGAGAGTCCTGGAGGCGATGGTTCATCTTCCTGGAGCTTGAGCATGGTGACTGGTTGGGAACCATCTCGTGGCGGTCTCTACGGTCGTCCTCTCTTGGCAGCAAAACCTTCCGGGGTAGATCTCTCTTCGTCTCCTTTTTGTCGTCATCCCTTGTGATGTTGCGGGTTGGTCTGAACTTAGCCATGATGCACGGTCCTTTAGACTTCCAGTGAAGGCTGCGAACTCTCTTCGCCCGAAGGCCTCTCCGGTGACACCAGATCGTTCTTTCGCTTCGGTCCTTAAGCAAGGTGTTCTCTCCGAAGCTGGGACATGTTTGTCTTATGATAATGGCGGTCATGTGGTGATTGAGGCTTCTGAAGATACTGGGTCAGACAGGAAAATGTTTCTTGATCATTATCTGAGTCTCGAGTTTTTCGGGGTTCAGAACGTTGGCTTGCCGGCTGAGCTTAATCAGGAGTTCATAAGGTGGACTACGAGTGCTTGGAATTTGGTACAAGGTTTCCGGTTTTCTCGGGGGGTTGGAGATCATTGGATGCTTTCGTGTCCCTCTCGACAAGAGGCGATTTGCGTGGAATCTTCACGGCGTATGAATTTTCAGGGTTTCAACGTTGTTCTTCGCTTCTGGCAGGATGATATCGGTAGAGGTTTAGGGAGTCAGGGAGGTCTTACTTGGAACATGGCGTTTGGAATTCCTCTTCATCTTCGATGCCGCCCGGTGATCAAAAGGATTGGTGATATTTGCGGGGGCTTTGTCGACGTGGACGGTGGCATGTAGGATGATCCGTTCGTTTTCATCAAGATATCTGGCGGCGGTGATTTTCCTTTGGAACTCTTCTTGAGCTAGGGGTCGCGGTCTTTCCCGGTGACGATCCTCGTACCGCCGAGCGCTCACAGGAACGACGGTCGGGCAGTGCTAGGGAAGTCGAATAGTTGTTTGAGTGTTGCGCTTGGGCGACGCACTGAAACTCGGGTGGCGTATCTGCATCTTCCCGAGATTGCTGACGTTGAGCCCCAGCCTGCCTTGCACTCTCTAGTGCCATTTGATTCCTGCGACGTGTCTTCTTTCGTGTCCAAGCAGCGGGTTCGGAAAATCTGGGTTAGAAATTTTGGCCCACATCTCCCCCCCCCCCCCCCCCCCCCCCCCCCCCCCCCCCCTAAGTGGCCCAATCATTTGAGCCCCCCTTCCTTTCGCGTCGATCGCTATCAAGCCCACTCAGAGATTTTCGTCCACCCTTCAGATCCTGTGAACCCTCTTGCTCCACCTTTGGTTAAGCCTAGTCTTTCCCCTGGCCCGTTCCATCCTTCCCTTGATTCTCAGACAACCAGCTTGCCTTCTTGTTATCCCACTTTGACCTTTTACCCTCAACTTTCATCCTTCTCTCTTGTCCTCTCCCATGTCCTTTCTCTTCGATTCAAACTCAATCCTAATCCTTTGCCTTTCTTGTTTCAAAGCTCCTTGGATTTGTTTGGCCATTGTTCTCCTCTTACTTCCCTCGCCTTTTGCTCTACCAGTACTCCATCTTCTTCCCCTTGCCCACCATCTTCCCCTGTGCCCCTTCCCTCTGTATCTGATGACTTTAGCCTTGAGGATTGTTTTTCATTGGTTGAGGATCGGTTTGAGCCTCCCGATTCTGCTACACCTGATTCAAAGATTAGTCTGGATGTGAATCCCCTGGCAATGGTGGAGTTCCATCCGCTCGATAATGGGTATTTTAAGGAGTGGCAGGCTTAGGCAGATTTCAAGAGGTTGATTGAGGCGGGTCGACTAGTCAGACACATGTTGAAGATTAATCTAGAAGGCCCGAGTCTGGATGTCGATTCTCAATTTGTGGAGTTAGTCGCTGAGGTGAAGCAACGGAAGAAAAGGGTCCCTAGAACAAAACTCGAAATGGAAAGACACCGTCTCGGATCTCTAACGAACTCTCCCTTGTCGATCCGAAGGCGTTGTCATACCCGGTGGGCCGATGCTGGTGCTGACGCGGCCTAACCCTTTCCCGCAGGTCTATTTCCTGAGTTCCCATCATGATCACGTCAATTCTTTCTTGGAATGTTCAACGTTTGTGTGCGCCGGATAAGAGGGCGCGGGTCAAGGCCATTATCAAAAGGTGTCGTGCTTCAGTTGTGGGACTTATAGAGACTAAACGGGACAATAGTTCTCAGTTCTTGATTAACTCTGTCAGTGGCGGTAGAAATTTTGGTTGGGTTGCCAAGGATGTTTGTGACACTCGCGGGGGCATTGCGATCTTCTGAGATACAGCGAATTTCAAGCTTTTGAATACGTGGGAAGGAAAATACTCGCTCGCCATTAGAATCCAGAATTGTAGTAATTCTGAAATCTTTGTTGCTGTGTTTGTTTATGGTCCGCATGAGCGGGATGGTAATTTGGAATTTCTGGCAGAACTGAGCTCGATTTGCCGTATGTACAACGCTCCTGTTTGTATCTTAGGCGACTTCAACCTCCTCAGGTCGGATGAGGATTTCATTGGAGGTCCTAGATGCAGGGAGATGATGGACATGTTTAATGATTTCATCAATTCGAATCAGCTAGTTGACCTTCCTCTTACGAGTGCCCTTTACACTCGCCATGGTAACGGTTCCAGCGAGTCCTTTTCTCGTATGAATAGAGCTTTGGTGAACCTTTCTTTTGAAGAATCCTTTGCTCTGGGGCCCTTACTTGCCTTTGAAAGAGTGGATTCCGATCATAATCTGATCTGCTTTCGATGGGGGCTTGCCGAG